CAACATTTGTTCCTTTTCCTGTTGGATGGAAAATCTTCAGTCTTCCCTTAACCATTATCAAAGAAAACTTCAATCTTGTCTTATCCAATATCCATGAGAGAGATTACATACACATTGTTTGCGTAAGTATCTGCAATCGGTCTCGAATGCATATACACAAATGTAAGTGTCCGCAGATCTACAAATACAAAGCAAAAGCGGAAAATCATGCCAGAAGCTGAATATCTATCAATCTAGAGGCAAAGTCGGGGGCCAAGTTCTGCATAAGTATATTCCCTCTAATTCTGAACTAAATTCTCTGATGATATTTTCTTGACCTTTTCGGTTTTTCAAAGCTAGAAATCCTCCAAATTATTTCAACCACTGGGTGTGTTAGGTTTGGTGAAGTTGGAACAATAAATGTCTTTTACAACATGTTGTTTCAACACATGGTATTGGAATACGCTTGAAATTGAGGGTTGTTTTAACACCCCTATTTTTGGCTTGGTTTGTTGTTGCAATAATCTTTTGGTGTTGCAACAACATCTAACCAAAAAAGTCCTTCGGATTTTTGATGTAGTTGGAACAACATGAACTACATCAACCCAAACACAGAGGATGATACGGATTAATAGTACAGATATCCATAAATGAAGGGACCAACTCATTCATCTCCATGTGTCCATATGTTCAATATGTAGGAGGGATCCTATCCGAAGCACCCCTATAGGAGTGAGGTAATTTACACCATTGATAGGATAGTCAGGATTATCAAACTAACCCTCTAACCACCCGTGAATGGTATAGATCACCACTGTCGATGGGGGTGTTCTGATAGAATCCTTACTCTTCAATATGTTGTTGAAAATGCCAAGCAAAATTACCGTATAACTCAGCTACAGGGTTATGAGTTTAACTAAGATTTTATTAGTTTTTGAACTTCAGGTCCATAGGGCCTGGGTCCTGATAGGATAAGAGATTAAGAAAATCTCACCAAGTATTTGAGTTACACTATTGTGTATCCAAGCATTTGTCGCATCATTAGGTCTGTAGATTCAGGTTCTGATTATCAGTTATCCTAAATCGTAGACTAAAATCGAATTTGATTTACAATACATAGATTTTGACAGCATCTTGCAGTTATGAACTCTATAGACACGTCTCTGGAAAAACTTGCTTGTTTTGTTTCAGCAAACAAGTGTTTTATCAACATTTCCACGTGCATTGAAATATTTAAAAGTTGTTTCACATTATTTCCCCCTTATGCCCCAGTTTCTATCTATTTATATACATACATATGTATATTTGTCCGTAGGTGTTTATCTATGCACACGCTCATACATGATGAGCACATCATGTATATTCTACTGCGGAATGGGTTCTTGTTTCACCTCAAAGATGAAAGCAATTCACAACAGAAAAACCTTAATAGGTCTTTGATTTGGACTCTTTTCCATTGCAGGAGGATTTTTACACGGATTGTTCCTTGCATGCATAAGTTCAACTGCAGAGAAATAAAAATGTTTACCTACAGCTCAGTAGTCTGTAGAAGTTTACCTTGGAAAAAGTTTCATCTATTGTAGCGGCATCTTCCGATATTTTTAAGGTGCCAACCATCAGATCAAAATTTCATGTCATATCGAGTGTCGCTATTTTGCAGTTAGTACGGCCAGCACCTGCAGGAACTTGTAAATGCATCTCAGGATGTCCTAACTCCTAAGTGCATTCATTTTTCATTTTTCTTTCTATGAGAAGATAAGATGGAGCATAAAAGCTCAATGAACATACAAATAAATGGATATGTAAAGATAACATAATGAAATGCTTACACACCAAAAGAAGTCATATAAGACAAACCATCTCTAAAAAATGATTAACTTCACGTCAATAACAGAAAAAACCCTCAACAAGAAAAACCTAGCCAGGAGTAGAAATCAGCTGAAATAGGAACAAGCACGACAACCAGCATAAACCTGTGCATCACCCCCAGTCTTAAGTTCGGTCGACATTTAATGTGATGGAAATGTTGAAATGTAGATAAGATACCATTAATAAAATTAACAAAATGATGAGCTCATAAACAGAGAACGTGAAGAAGCAAAAAAAAAAAAGCTTGCAAAAATCTCTTAAGACTTTGAACTCCAACAACCATCTTCAACAGCATAAGAAGTCCAAAGAACATACCTTTCATTTCATTTCAGGCATCAAAAGGATGAAAATCTGGTAAAACTGCCGTAGAATCAAGAACTTATGGTCTGCATCAATTTGAGCCAATGGATAGGGGAGAATAACAAAAGACGAGCACCTCTAAGTCAAGTTATCGAAACCTAGTGAAGTTGCTGCAGAATAGAAAACTGAAGGCTTCGTGAGGAATGAGTCATAATCAGATGAAGATGAATTCATA